ACAAGACAAACAACAACAATTCAGCACAGCAAAGTCTAATGCAAAATATGAAATGTCCAGCAAAATGTACGGTATATGAATTGCAAATACACATCATGGTCAAAACCTATACTCCATATGATAAATCAAGGAAAAAAAAAAGATAAACAAAAACAATCAAACATAATGTTTAAAGACAAACTGTGATCCCCCTTTGTGTAATAGCTCGGCAAGCTCACTAGGCAGATGATCAAGCAGAGGCTGCCATACTCCATAGAAATCATTACAATTTCCCTTTATAATGGCACTGAGGCGCTCCAGCGGAAACACCTTGAACGTTTCTCTGTACCACTGTGTCACAGAAGGGGGCTGTCCCCGAATCCACTGAAACAGTACGCAACGTCTTGCCAAATGTAAAAGTTTACGGAGTAAAGTCATTTGTGTTGAAGATAGAGAAAGCCCTTCTACAGAAAGACCAAGAATAAACAGCACAGGGTTCAGTGGGACTGTCTGGTGAAATATTGAGCGAAGCTCTATAGAAACGTTATTCCAGAATCTAGCAATTATAGGGCATTTCCATATACAGTGGTAGTAAGTCCCCACATCTGTATTGCACTTTACGCACAGAGGGGAAATTTGAGGGTGAATTTTATGTAAAAACTCTGGGGTACGCTGCATTCTATGTAGAATTCTGTAATGGCTTTCCCGAAGTCTGTTACAAGTAAACATTTTCTTAGCAAACCTAAAAGCTTTTGACCATGCTTCTGAGCTAAGCTCAACTTCCAAGTCTGTTTCCCACCGAACCCTGGCCTTATCAGTTGTAACAAAATTCAAAGACAGTAATTTCCCATAGCACAGAGAAATGAATTTCTTTTTAGTGAGTGCATCTTCATTAAATTTAAGAAGAAAACTTTCGATAGGGTTCAAAACAGATTGGTTGACTGGGAATTTAAGAGAATTTACAAAGTGTCTCACTTGCAAAAACCCAAAAAAGTGTTTTTGTGGTATATTGTACTTAGTTTGAATTTGTTTAAAGGACATAAAACTACCCTTTTCAAATAAATTACAAACAAATCTTATCTTTTTGGAATGCCAATCATCAAATACACTAATGCCCATACCTGGAGGGAAAGCCTGGTTCCTAATTAGAGGTTGCAATGTACTAGAAAAACCTCTTCTTCCAATGTGGGCAGCAATATTATGCCAAACCTTGAGTGTACACATCAAAATTGAGTTATTTCTCACACCCAGTGGAAGTTCAGCTGACTCAATAGATAACAGACTAAGAAGAGAAAGGGGGTCACAGCACCAAGTATCTAGGTGGCTCACCTAGATGTAAAAAAGAATGTAACCATCCTGAGATTATCCGTACATGGCAAGCCCAGTAATAATAAAGAAGGTTAGGAAGAGCCTGACCCCCTTCATCTAAAGGTAATTGTAAAATCCCTAATTTTAGCCTAGACTTCTTTCCGTGCCATATAAATTTAGAGAAACACCCCTCGATCTCTGAAAATGTTTTTTGGGTGATTCTAAGAGGCAGCATTTGCATAGGATATAATATTCTAGGAAGAACATTCATTTTGATCAAACTTATTCTACCCATCCAAGATATCGGGAGGTCAAACCACCGATTAAGGTCATTTTTGATTGAGGCCACAACTGACTTAAAATTTAACTTGTATAGCTCTGTTATGTCCGAGGAGACCCTGATGCCCAGATATGTAAAACCTGTGAATGACCACCTGAAAGGAAAATTATCAGGAGTGTCCCATCCCCCCTGGTCACCAAGTGGCAAAGCTTCTGATTTATCATAATTTATTTTGTACCCTGAAAAAAGGCCAAATTGATTAATAGTGGATATTAATGCAGGGATAGATGTTTCTAGCTTAGTGACAAACAGTAACACGTCATCTGCATTAAGCGAGATTTTGTATTCAGTATCTCCCAAGGTTACTCCAGAAATCCCAGAGTGGGTTCTTATAGCTTCTGCCAATGGCTCCAAAGCCAGCGTAAACAATAAAGGGGAGAGGGGACATCCCTGGCGTGTCCCTTTACTCAGAGGAAAAATATCAGAAGCAGAACCATTTACCAAAACCCTTGCAGCTGGAGCTCCGTATTTCAAATCAGTTTTTGTAGTGCTGTATCCCAGCTTATGTCTTGTATTGCGAAGTGCTGCCGTTTCCTGATGGACAGCACAAAATTTGATGGAAACTGACGTCAAAGTCCCATCTAATATCGTTGGTCGATCCCACTGGAGTCACTTTCCAAAAGATTAGATACGAGTCGGATTAAGGACCAGAAAAAAAGTCAGATACAGACCCAATCTAAGCGTCTGCACTTGTTTTAAGCATCCTTTTTTGCCTACAGTGTGAACGGGACCTAAGACTGAGCTTAACAACAAACACTACAGGTAATCCAGGGATTAAAAGAAAGATATACAGAGAAGGCCCTCATTCCCACCTTTAAGTATGGTGGAAGATCTGTGATGCTGTTGGCCTGTTTCCAATAGGTCTTAGGAACGTTGTTACAGTGATGCCTCATGAGCATTTTTAAATACTATTTTAAGTCAAAATCTAGTGGGTTGTTTTTTATTGGGTCTATATATCACACATATCACTAGGTCAATCCAAAAGATTCAACATCAACCTTTTTCAGAAGATCTTGATACAGACATTGACGAGGCTGTGTGGGAAAATATTATTTCAAATGTGGGAGGGGCTACAAAGGATGCAAGAAATAAATGTATTTACTACAAATTGTACATAGGTATTATTTTACACCAAGTAAGCTATGCCGAATTGATCTAATAAAGGATAACAAATGTTGGAAATGTAGGAAAGAGGTGGGTACACTTCTCCATGCACTATGGGATTGCTAACCTGACTCCGCCAGATGGATTTGCTCCACATATCCATCTGGAAACCTTCCGTAGAAGTAATTTTGGGAAGGGGCGAAAATACTGGTTAGCTGATTGGCCTATGTTGGTGATAGACGGGCCAAATAAACCAATCAGATCAACGAAGCATATGACGTACTAACAGAGCGACGACGAAAACACAACCACAAGGCAAGCTACTCTTGCCGAAACCAGTCGGGAGAAGAGCAAAAACATCTTTTCCTCTGAGAAAAGCCTCCAGAGCAGTGTTTTGCTCTTCTTTCAGTGAAGAAATACTCTGTAATTCCGATAAAACTTGCTCGATAGCCACGCTAACGCTAGTTTCATCGGCTGAAGCCGCCATGTTCTTTAGAATGAACTGTCGCGCTTCTCGTTGCGTCACACCTCAACCCGCCTCAAAGCCAACGCTGATTGGATGTTCGTTTGGTGAACGGCTCCAAATTTTCTTTAACGGAGAGTCTCCAGACTGATCTGCGAGTGAAACCTTGAAAGCTTGTGAGATCAGGATGGTCTCACGAGGCTATGGGATTGCCCCTTGATAATGCCCCTTTGGAAGGCAGTTTTGAAACAGATTGACGACTGGCTTAGTCAACCTTTACCAGAGTCTGCTTAATTCTGCCTTTTAGTTGATAACTCATTGATTACAGTGGGTATTATAAAAGCTGAAGGTAGACTAATTATGACAGCTTTCTACGTAAATAGAAGAGCCCACATAGACCGAAAATTAAGGAATGGCTTCAATTTATGGCAGAGACAGAAGGTTTTGAAGTCATGATTTCAAGGGTGCAGAAGGAGTAAAGTTGGTAAAGCTATCCAAGCATGGGTGTATTTTGATTACAGTGTTGGTATCAATTCTTAACCCTTTATAGGACACTCAGTGAAATCCTTTGAAAATCAAAATTTAAAGCCAATAGTCTTATTGGAATCCAGGACAAGACCTTGTTACCTTTGTAACATTAAAACATAGGGATATTTTGGAGGCAAAAACTAATGTCAATGTAATAACAAGAAAGGCCGACTTGCCTGAATATATTAAGAAAAAATAACAAAAGGTCTTCTATGAGAAATTCATGAAAAAAACTCAGTCTAACAGTCTAAACTTGGTCTAACATAACTTTAGAGGCATTAATGCTGATACTGCTGATTTTATAAACCTAAATATAATTGTAAACTAGGCTTATTAACTTTTAAACTTTACTTTTTAACTTTTCAAGTAGCTTTTTACCTTTTTTTCTTGACTTGTTAACTTTATTTCAATTTACTTTACAGTAGGTAATGTATCATTCAATCATCTAATTGGTCAAATGCCAAAATAAGATACTGGATATAGATCTTGTGCTTCTAGACCTCAGTGAGGGACGGGGGGGAATCCATTTGCCAGTGAACAAAAACGGTAACTTGTGCTATAAAGGGTTAAGGGATTTGGGGTGTTTCTATATATATATATATATATATATATATATATATATATATATATATATATATATATATATATATATAATATGTTTTGGAATAGATAATTGATGAGTGCTGTCCTGTTCTGTGTTGCTGCCGATGTTTTTTTGTATGTTTTTGTTTTTTGAAAGTCATTTTCTGTAATTGTATTATTACCATAAAAGCAAAAATACTAAAAAAAAAATGTTATGACAAAGAAAAATCAACCTTTTTCCATCATCATCCCAGCCCTCAGACACAGCCTTTATAGAAACCCCAGCTTATGAGAACTGAGGTGAGAGAAAAGATCCATGACTGTTTGACACAGAGAAAATGATGAATTCTCCCAAACATTACCAATCGCTATGCCTCAATGGTGTGAAATGTTAAAAGTTTTAAGTAGATTATCCTTCTCATCCTTACCTTTAAAATACTGTTTAGACTCTTAGAGTTTTTATATGACGATAATGGTTTGCTATCCTTCCTATTATTTAGCAGTAAAACTACACAATATTAGAACCAAAACACAAAAACCCCTGACCGGGTGCATCGGTTTGTTCTCAGAGACAAGGAGGCACTTCAAAGAGCATCGGTGATCACAGCGCTGGACCAGATGTCAGTAGACAGATGCTTGTTTCATCCCATGTTCCTGCTGTTTGTTAGTAAAATATCTAGGACTGACACCACAAAGTTCAACAAAAGATAAGTTTATTCACAACAATAGTGCAAAGAGTTCCTTCTCTCTGGGTAAGAAATGTATTCATTGTTTTTCTTTCTCTAATTTTCTGGAGTGCTGATTTTAATGGGTTTTAATACGTTTGTATTTCATTTTATTTTTTTTTACACATGCTCAGTTTTAGGTTATTATTCACTGCAGAGTTTTGAATTTCCCAAATTAGGCAGCATAAATGATCCAAAGAGTAGTCTAAAGCCTCAGGGAAGGAGTCTTTTCAATGTCTAGTATTCAAATGTACAAACAGAACTGCCCTAATTATGGGAATTCAGCAGTAGTCTTCAGAAAACAATCTTTGTATGCTGAGTCACATCAGAAAAACAAAAGAGCATAAGCAAAGAGAACCATCGTCTGTTGAATAATTAGTTACTCTAATCAGACACAATAGAGGGGATTTAAAAATCCCATAAGCAGAAAGCAGATGGAGTTCATCTCAAACAAAAACAGGCACAATTATATCCCAGATGCATGACTAAAATACACGGATGAGTCAGAAGTTTGATCCGCTGCACACGATGCTTCCACTCTTCAATTTGCAGCTCTGTTTATACAAAAATATAGGCAGAACAATAAAACAGTAATAAAGAAATAAGAGAAGATAAATTGATTTGAAGGCTTTATGTAATGAGCGACGGCCCCTTTCGACCCGTCCTCTGATGAAGCTGAGAAATCTTCAGAGCAATAGTTGCCAGCGGTGCCAGTATCACCTGCCCAAAGGATAATGATGAGGTCAGAGACTGATACACTAGGGCTTCACATGGCCCTGATGGTAAATAAACACAGGACTGTTTTCCTTACACAGCGTTTACCCTGCTGCCTACTAACAAGCATTACGGTACCTTTTGAAATTTGTTTCGAGATCACAAACCTTAATGTATTTCTTAGGATTTTACAAGAGACCAACACAAATTAGTGCCTGATCACGTACACCCAGAAGGCTTTCGTAGAAAATTCTTATTTCATAATATCAAAACCTTAGTGATTATGGGGAACCAACTCTTACATAATTAAAGATAAAAAATATATCAATTGCTCAAATAAACAAAAAAACCATAAAGGAATTAAAAGAGATTAATACATTTATAATATATTCCATTTATCACATATATTATAAGTTAAACAATCTTTTTTTTCTTTGTCTATTACAAAAGAATAATGTAAAACATAAAAAAAAAAAGTTTAACTACATTCTAAAAAGTGAGATTCAATTGAGAGCTTTTGTAACAAGCTTACTGGAAAAAAGCAGTCACCAGTTACTTCATTCAAAGACTAACACAGATACTTTGTTGATAACTTCCACCAAAAAGTAATGATTAACTGGTAAAAGTCACTTCTATTTAATTTTTAAAGCAAAAATCTTAAAAATGCCATTATTAATGTCCATTTAGGTCAAAGGTATAGAGGATGATCTGTTTCCAGGTGGATCATCTACATAAGTGGTTCTCCTACCTGTCAATCATTCTGGTGATATGCTTACGTAAGATCGTCCTACATGTTCGTCGTAGCTATATTTTTCTACGCACGCGCACTTTCAGGCGTATATCTTTGGTGAGCTTTGGTTTCAGACAGTCATTGAAGCTCACCTTTCTCACAGCGGTTCTCTTAAAATGGCCCGAGAGTCGTAAGAGAAAAAATGTCTATGAGGTGCAGGGAAAAAAAAGAAAGGCCTCAGAAAAGGCAGATATATCCCAGAATGCTTTGTGTGGAGAGATCTCCGCACAAAGCATTATGGGATTTGTTGTCACAGCGGCCTGCGACTAATAAAAAATATGGCTCATGCACCGCACGGTGGACCAACTGGGAGGTGATCATCTGTCCAAACAATAAGTTGACTGAGTTCACTATAAAGTCCACCGTATGGTTCCCGCTCCATGTAGTGATGGAGGGATTATAACGGACGTTTGGACACAGTAAACTTGTATAAGCTGTGAGAACAGCAACTTTTAAAAAGAGTGTGCACAAGGAGAAATGGACTCATGCATGCAAACGCACTCGCATTAATTTTCAAGAAAATCCTCCTCAATACCTTTAAGTTTGTATAAAATACAAACTCAAACACAAAGTACTATTTTAGCTCTACTTTATCTATGCTAGACCTGTGAATGATTTCAAATGGTCTTCATTTTGAATGGACTATTGTATAAGCATAAACATTGTAGCTATGGCTATGGCTTTCTGTTTTTGACCTGTTAGAAGACACATCACTCTTCTAATCTGATTGTTTTGGGGGTTTTTTTGCATCCTCTGCAGATTATCTCCTAGGATTTCCCTGTACAGTAGGAGTGCTATTGATCAGAGCTCTGTGAAATGATAAAAGCTTCTGATACCTGCTGCCTTTCTTGGTTTTTTCTATGCTGTTTTTCCACTAATGTTCTCCAACAAACATTTTAGGCTTTCACATAAACGGATGGGTTTCTATTCAGATTCAGTTACATGGAAATTTATTTATGGATGAAGCTAGATAAAAAAAATACCCACCCTGATTTTCATTTGTTTTTTTCATAACAACAAAATTGAAATTTATGTATCACTGTCCCTCCACTTTCAATGTCTATTAGATTAAATTATACAAGGCTGTTTTTTTAAGACTGATTCATGTTGTTGTTGTTTTCTGATTTCGCTACCATGCAGTTCTTTTTTTGGTCTATAAAATACATTCCCATACCTTCAAATTTGTTGCAGGAGTTCAACTAAATTAAGTAAGAAGAAAATTAGTTGCACTGATTTCTCTCTTAATACGAAAAAAGAAATATAAATGTAACCTATGGCTTTTATGTTTGTTCATAATTATGCAACACTTTATGTTGGTCTACATTATATAATCCCAATAAATAAAGAATAACAAAATATATGGAAGTTTACTCCTAAATTCAGAAAAAAACTAGGAAAGTTCAATCCTTTTTCGTTCATCACTGTTTTTGTAAAGATGTAGTTGCTCTTATTCTAACCTTAATAGGTAGTACTGTGCAGATATGAACTATATTTCGTAGAAATGACTGCCTCTTTACCTGCGTGTCTTCAAATATGAATTTCCTTTCATAGCTGTCAATGTAGATCCTAACTGTGGCTCCGTCAGCACTCGTCCCACCAAGTCTGTAGATGATTCTGGAACCATCGGTGAATATGATCCGCAGCCCCTGTTGGAAGGTTGTTTTTTTTATGGAAATGGAGTAAATACAAATCAGAAATAAAAGTTTGAAAACTAACTGAACAGAACTAGATAGAACTAACTGTTCTATTTGATCATATTTTCATTTATCAAATCCATCCATCCATTTTCAAGCATGCTTATCCCGAGTGGGGTCGCGAGGGGTGCTGGTGTCTATCTCCAGCAGTCAATGGGCGAGAGGCGGGGTACAACCTGGACAGGTCAACAGTCCATCGCAGGGCAACACAGAGACAAACATGACAAACAACCAGTCACACGCACACACTCACACCTAAGGGGACTGTAGAGAAGCCAATTAACCTAACAGTCATGCTTTTGGACTGTGGGAGGAAGCTGGAGTACCCGGAGAGAACCCACGCATGCTCAGGGAGAACATACAAAATCAATGCAAAGATCCTGGGCCGGGAATCCAACCCAGAATATTCTTGTTGCAAGGCAGCAGTGCCACTGAGCAACCCGTTAATTAAGTCATTTTCTTAAAATTTTTAAAAATCATTTACTTCTTTTGTTCTTTTGAATAAAATCTTCTTTTTTTTCAAATTGAAATTTGACAAATTGCATTCTTTTCAAAGTGTGTTTTGCAGACCACATTCTCATCACTTCTGGGGGCTCTCATGGTGTTGGTTTTGTTTAGGTCTTATCTCTGAGCTTTCATTGGTCTCTAGCCTCAGACCCTTTTGTTGTCTCCTCTCTAGTGCCCTCTGTCTCCTCTCTACTGCCCTCTGGTGTCCCCTTTCCAGCCCCTGAGCTGCTCTGTGCTGTCCAGAGTCCCCTGAGTCTGCTGATGAACTGGTCCCTGACTTTGAGCTCAGTGAGAGTCATGGGTTCCCAAGGTTCGTGTGCTGCAGCAAGGTTTGAAACTTGGGGGCTGCTGCCTGCGGCACACGAACCTTGGGAACCCATGACGAAGAGGTGAGGAGCGCCCGCTGAGGGGCTTCGATGACAAACTCTCAGGCCCCGTCCACACGAAGTCAAAACGAACACGAAACGCTGATATTTTCCAAAACGTTTGTCGTAAAGACGGAGACGTAAAATAAATGTGAGCGTCCACACGAATGCATGAAAACGCTGCAAAATGTATGCCAGGCCTGTAAGTGGCGCTGTGGTGCCAAAGCAAAAATAAGCGACGAAATGTTGGGCATGCGCACTAATATTTATACATGGTTGCCCTGCAGGTCCATTTTCGTGGTTAAGTCAAATTCAGGTGCTGAACTATGTCGTCGATATTGCTCTGTTCTTCCTGGAGATATTCCAGAAGAAGAAGATTCTGTTGTAAGCCCGACAGCAGGGTGAGTAGCATTAGCAGCAACCATTGAACACAGTACGGCGCCATTGTTGTTGTGATACTGTGTCGCACATGCGTGTTTAGAGGCGACGCTATGACGCATGCGTGTAAAAAAAAAAAAAATGCGGTTAGAGCGTAAAGATGGAAACGCGAAAACGGCATTTCGAAATCTTCCCACTCTGAAGGCTGAATAAAAAAAAGATCGTTTACAGACCCCCGAAACGCCGGCTTCGTGTGGATGAGAGGCTGGTTTGGTGAAAAATTTGTGCGTTTAGGCCAGGGTTCGTCTTCGTGTGGATGGGGCTTCACTGAGCTCAAAGTCAGGGACCAGTTCATCAGTTCAGACATGAACCTTGCCGCAGCACATGAACCTTCCAGCATGAGAGACTGTCCGTCTCTGTTCTAATTTTTGGGAGAATATCGTCTGATAAAGAGTACATTTATATACATGTTTAAGCCAGAATGATTTGACATTTAAATATGACTTCCCTACGACTTTAATCTGGAAGAGAAATTTGAGTAAAACCTGCAAAATCTGTAATTTCTTTAGGAAAAATAAAGTTTTAAATAATGGAATATGAAAAAAACTAGTAAAGCAGAAGATAAAGACGCTAACAAAATTGTTTAAATAATCCAATCTGAGAAAATAGCAAAGAGGGAAAGGATATGACAGGCGATTAATCCAGCTTCTGTCTTTGTCTTTTACAGTAAAGCATAATCTGTGACATGCTTACCTGGTTCCTGGTGATGGTGCCGTCCACAGGGTCTGTGTACTCAAAGTTGTCTGCTTTTTCCACTTGGTAGACCTTGTCTTCAACAGCAAATCTCTGCTTCACAAACGACTTGTCGGATATCAAAATCTCCAAATCCTCCATCATGTCACACGCAGCATCTATGTCTACATTCTCATAGTCATATCTGGACAACATGGACGAAGAAAAATAGAGCATATTACATTTTAATTCCACCGTTCAACAGATGAAGTTTAATTACAATTGAAAAGTACAAAGTATTACAAATAGCGGGGAATTTATGTCAAAACATTTACATCAAATGTAGAAAGAGCCATAGAAATATGAACAACAAAAAAGTTGGAAAAAGTCAAAACTGAATTTTTTTGGCATATCTTCCTTTTTTTTAGCTTTTTAAAATGAAAAAAAAGGTTTTAAAGTCATTGATAAACCAATGAAAGAAAGGTGTAGCATTTCTCCATTTAGTACAGTATGATTTTTACCCAGCAAGAGGATTACAGTATAATAATAGTGTCAGAAACAGGCAAAAGAAGATGGTCCGTACAAAAAACGAGATAATTTAGTCCAAATGGAAGCACATTACTAGCCTCGTGAGACCATCCTGATCTCGCGAGCTTTCAAGGTTTCACTCGCAGATCAGTCTGGAGACTCTCTGTTAAAGAAAATTTGGAGCCGTTCACCAAACGAACGTTCAATCAGCGTTGGCTTTGAGGCGGGTTGAGGTGTGACGCAACGAGAAGCGTGACAGTTCAGTCTAAAGAACATGGCGGCTTCAGCCGATGAAACTAGCGTTAGCGTGGCTATCGAGCAAGTTTTATCGGAATTACAGAGTATTTCTTCACTGAAAGAAGAGCAAAACACTGCTCTGGAGGCTTTTCTCAGAGGAAAAGATGTTTTTGCTCTTCTCCCGACTGGTTTCTGCAAGAGTAGCCTGGCTGTTAGTACGTCATATGCTTAGTTGATCTGATTGGTTTATTTGGCCCGTCTATCACCAACATAGGCCAATCAGCTAACCAGTATTTTTGCCCCTTCCCAAAATTACTTCAACGGAAGGTTTCCAGATGGATATGTGGAGCAAATCCATCTGGAATCCATCTCCACTTTGAGAGGGGCGTGAAGGAAGCCATCTATGTTAAGAGAGAAAAACCAACTTTAAACAGAGGTGGTGGACTCAGATTCCAGCTTCCAAAAACATACAATTCAATCATAGACATGATCCCTTCCAGATATCACCAAACCCCCCACCCCATCACAGAGGAACGAGGGACCTACCCGCCCCAGCCGGTGAACAATACCTCCTTAACGACCAACCCTTAACAATCATAGACAGGTTTCAGGTATTACAGGACACAATCCCCCCTTTAACGACCGACCCCTAGAATCATAGACAGGTTCAGATATTACAGGCTAACGATGGAACTAACGACCCATTCATCGGTTACCATTTGCATGTCTCCAAGCGATACAAGGCGTTGTCTATATAAGACTCAAACTCACTGCGGATCCAGACATTTGAATTGAGAAAGCTTCCTGGAGAGGTGGAGAAACGTCTTCAAATCTTGAAAACCAAGTCCAGTGGATATTTTTTGAATTTTTACGGAATGACTATGACCTGGATGACTGAGAACCTTCATCAGCATATTAGCTAACTCTTGAAAGCATTTCTCTTTGCCACTCTTTAATATGAGAAAGGCGACGAAAAGTGCAGGTATCATAAAGCAGGGTTGCAGTTTATATATGTATAGAAAATAATACAAGAGAATATTCACTCATATTATTCCAAATAACCAGTCAGGTTAATATAAAAAGGCAAAAACTTTGCCAATTCTTGATTCCTGTAAATTAAAACAAATTGACACATGTGTCTGAACTCTTATGTTTCATTTTTCTGCTTGATGTAAATGAACCTGGAAAGAGACTGAGGATGTCCTTTAATGATCCTGATCAGGAGGTAGAGCTGAAACACAGCTTAAACCATCAGGACATCAATCCTTGAAAATTACTGCTGCCCACATCTACTTTAGATATATTTCATTTTGCCATGTGATATTCCATTAAAGTATATATTAAAAATTACTCTTAAGCTATGAAATTGCTTTCTGGCAAATATGAATTAAGCATGTTATGTACAATTCTTTTTTTCTTTTTTGAATTATTGCTTTGTTTTTAGGGGCTGCTCAGTGGTGCAGGGGGTAGCACTGCTGCCTTGCAGCAAGAAGGTTCTGGGTTCAATTCCTGGTCTGGGGTCTTTCTGGAGTTTGCATGTTCTCCCTGAGCATGCGTGGGTTCTCTCCGGGTACTCCGGTTTCCTCCCACAGTCCAAAAACATGACTGTTAGGTTAATTGGCTTCTCTAGATTCTCCTGCGTGAATGGTTTTATGTCCTGTTTGTCTCTGTGTTGCCCTATGATGGACTGGCAACCTGTCCAGGGTATACCCCGCCTCTCACCCAATGACAGCTGGAGATGGGCACCAGCGACCCCAATTGGGACTAGCGTGTCAGATAATGGATGGATGCTTCATTTTTAAGCAGAAAAGTCTAGATAGGCAAAAATGGAACAAAATGGCCCTACACCATTAAAATCACCTATAAGGATGGCATTGCCACAAGCATTGAGCATCTTTGCCAGCAGCCTTAATACATGTTAAGGACACTGTCTGTTGCTTGTCCACCAGCTCACCTTGTGAAGTAATTTCTTCCATATTTCAGCCAGTGTTCCTTCAGAATATCCTCCACACTCTGCCTTCTAGTCGCTATGATGGACAGCCATGCCAGCACAGCCCAAAGTCCATCCTTCTCTCGGATGTGGTCTCCACCTGTATTCAATTAAGAGTTTCCAACTCACAGAAATGTCAAATTTTTTTCAAAACTTCTGACATATTTCACAGCAGAGGTTGAACCTGTTCCGAAGCTTTCCTCTCCACATAAAGACAGCATGCCGGCGTCCATCAGATTTCCAAAGAACCTCCAGCCAGCGGGGGTTTCGTGCAGCTTTATTTTCGTTGCTTTGGCTACTCTGTCGACAGTTTGATGAGAAACTATTCTTGGCCACAAAAACAAATGCTACTCCACAGACTGAGCTTTTGAGAGTTGGGTGGAGTTTTACCTGTCCAAGGCTGTGCTTGTTGGCATGCTGCGGGCAAAGCCTCTAACGCCTGTATGCTGAAAGTACGGGATGCAGAAGATGTTGTCCGCTATCACAGCCACAGAGTCAGACGGGGTGACGAAAAAACCATGCTTACCAAGGATCATGTTACGGTCCTAGAGAGAAACACAGACGGGGGGTTTGAAACCCCATTCAGAGGTTCACCTGAACGCATTCTAAACAACAATCCTCCTGGCTGTTCATGTGTTATAAAAATGGCAAAAGCAGAACACACCCCATCCCCATCAAATGCTGCTCCGAGGTCAAACTGTCCGTCTCTCATGCTGTCAGCCAGGTCTGCAGCATACATGAGGTTGGGATCAGGAGGTTGACCTCCGAAGTCTTCCAAGGGGACACAGTTAATGGCAGAATTAGCTGGACAACCCAGCTCTTCACACAGTATTCTCTTCACATATGGACCCAGCACTGAGGAGCAGACAGTTACAGCGAGGAGAGGATGACAGATGTCTGTTAGAACACAGTAAGTCATCTTATCGCCTGTCTTAAAGGTATAGAGAACAATCTTTTATTTCTGTGTGAATCATCTAAATAAGTGGTCCTCCTAACTGTCAATCATTTTGGTTATATGTTTACGTAAGGCCCCGTTATACAGTATATCTTTTTCTGTGCATGCACACTTTCAGGCGTATATCTGTGTGATGAGCTATGGTTTCTGGCAGCCATTGAAGCTCACCTTTCTCACCACGGTTCCTTGAAAAAGTGTCTACCAAGTGTATGAGAAGAAAAGAAAGGCCTCCGAGGAGGCAGCTGTATCCCAGAATGCTTTGCGTGGAGAGCTCTCCTCGCAAAGCATTATGGGATTTGCTGTCACTCGGCCCACTGTCGCCAACAGCGGCGACTAATAATAAAGATGGTACAGGCACCGCATTGTGGAGGAGGAGTTACGTGACCAACTGGGCAAAAAGCAGTGATAATCTGTCCGAATTGTCAGTTATATGAGTTTGCTATAAAGTCCACTATATAGTCCCTGCTGTGTGTGGACACAGTGAGCTTGTATGACCTATGAGAACAGCACATTTTAAACCAGACATGCAAGAGGAGAAATGGGCTCTTGCAAGCACTATTTTTTTTTAAGTGGAGAGGGAGGGTCTTTTAAAAAATCCCCCACCTTTAAGCAAAAAGTTTAAACAGAAACACATTGAATTTGTGATGATGTGACATGTTTCAGTATGTAGGGACATCCATTATGGTTTTAACTGGTGTGTATCGGGCAGAGTTAAATTACCTGTAGATAATGGGAAAGGTTTTGCAGTTCTATCGTAGTAGAACAAAAGGCAAGGTTTCCGGGGAATTGTCAACTGCCCGAGGAGAAATTTTTTATCAATTGCTAAGAAAATAAGGTTCTTTTATAGTTGCAATAAACAAAAATGTTAAAGACAAAATAAAAGATAACTTTTCTTTTTGGGGAGCAGAAAGGCAGTTCAGGTTTTGTTCCACCTGTGAACCAAAAGACCTCGCATTGGAACGTGGGGCTCTCTCTAAGAGTGAGAGGAAGGTTGTAGGTACCACCAGAAGGTACTTAATTTTACTGAGACGTCGGTAAACTAGAGTGGGATCCCCCCCCAGTTTTCCAGGTTGGCACCATAGGATTGGTGTGTATCGGGCAGAGTTAAATTACCTGTAGATAATGGGAAAGGTTTTGCAGTTCTATGGTAGTAGAACAAAAGGCAAGGTTCTGGGGAATTGTCAACTGCCCAAGGAGAAATTTTTGATCAAATGCTAACCCAACTGTTTTTAATATTCTTTTTTGTTTCTGCATTTTTATTTATTTTTTTTATTTTTTATTTTTGCTACTTGCTTTGATTCTGTTTTATCTTCCTGTATTTTAATCATGTAAAGCACTTTGCATTGCCTTTGTACTGAATTGTGCTATACAAATAAATGTGCCTTGCCTTGCCTTGCCTAACTGTGAATGTATTCTAATAAATGATGCTCCTTAGTGACGTGAGTGCTGGGGTTGGCAGGAATGGGCCGAGTTAATGAAGTTTTCACATCCAGGAGCTTTGGTCACTTTGAAACGCATCAGAGTTTGTTTTCTGGTAAATTCTGCTTCATTTTTTCAGGAGTTGAGAATTATTCAAGCTGTTTTTTTGGTTCTTTTCTAATCACTCAAACTATTTTCTACCAACAATTCAATGCAAAACAGAGAGAAAGAAAAAAAAAAAAAATAGAATGTGATATGGAGCACTGAATATTAAAAAAATAAAATAAAAAATTGCTATTACATTTTCTTTCTTCACATTTACTGCTTTTATCTAATATTTAGGGGTAAAAATGGATATAAATATGAAGTATTTAAATATTAAATCTAAATGTATTTTTCAAATCTATTTCTGCATCCTATATCTATATATGTATTATTGCTATACTTTGATAAAATTTTAACTTTATATCTAAAACCCATATCTAAATTTTACATCTAAATAAATATCTCTAAATAGATACATCTAAATATATATATCTTAAATCTAAATGTTAAATCTTTATTTTGAAACTTAAGTGTAATTCTAATAAACTTGCCTTGCATTTAATCTAAATCTAAATACACATTTTAAATATTAAATGCACACCTTAATGAAAAATATATCTTAAATGTAAATGGTAAATTAAGCTTTTTTTGTTGTTTATTTTTTTACATTCAGCGCCCCATAAAGTGATATTAATTTTTCTAAGAAGCCTCCACAGTTTCGAGCTAGACCTCTACTATTAAAAGTTCTACTTAGAACAGAATAAAATCTAAATAACTAATATAACAGTCCAGGAAAATCTGCAGATCTATTTATTGCTCAGTAAATTTCAGACAAATTTAAGCCTTTATATGCAGGTAAGAGATGTGTCTGTGATCTGATCTGATTATAGGGGTCAGTTTTATATCAAAAGTCAAGTAGGAAGGACCAAATCCATGGGCTGATCTAAAGAGGGGCCAAGAGGTGCCAGTGCCCCTGTAGAACTGGTCATGCGACTGTACTAAAGAAAAAATACTATATAAAATTCTTGTGATCTTACACCCTGGCACTGAAACAGCAATTAATAATCTCTTTAGAATAATAATTTTTTTTATTTTAATTTAAAAAAAATTTTTATTTGATTTACAAATTAAGTTGTTTCACTTTTTGCTTCATTTATATTAAGATATGGTCACTGTTATCATCTGCCATGTTTGAGTTTCTCTGATCTTTAAGTGGCTTTTTGTCTCACTTATTATTTGAAACAGTAAACTTTTTTTTGTATTCTTTTGTTTGGTACCTCACTAAAAAAAGATTGCTTTCAATTTTTTTTTTTTTTTGTTTGTTATGTTTATACCTCAGGCTTTCTAATGAGTATTATCAGGTAAAAGTATTTTTCCTTGAACAGGAAATGATAATTAACATGTCATTTCTTCATATGAAATGAATGAAAACGTCAACAACTATGACCTTAAAAACCTGATAAATGGTAAAGAAACCCAAGCTAGAGGAGGTAGCGCTTAGATAGCTTAGATAGCTCAGTCCTACCATGGTATTGGTGCAGAAATATGTGTACACAAAATCTGAGTCTATACAATCACTACAAAGCATTTAATCTCAATGGAAATTTCTACCCTGGCATCAGTGAGGCTCCTAGAACTATTCAGCTATTTTTTCTGGTTTCGGAAAGACAAGCGAGCTCGAATTTTCTCAGCCTGTCTTCAATATATAAGGGGGGTTTATGTAACTTTAAACTCTTTAGATTCTCTCACCTCCATGCATTGCATCTACCCTTATGTTGATATGATTCTCGCCAGATAAAAGCTCCTTCAGAGATGCAAAGTCGAAGATGTTCCTTAGGAGGTTAGCGTAGGACTCCACAGGGTCAACTATTTCCACTGAACACAACAAACAAAAAAAAAGAACTGAAGTTAGATGTTAAAGAACAATACAGGGGACTTTTTAAAGAGTTTGTATTCAAACTAAACTCACTGAATGATAATGGGTGTTCACCTTCTCTATTTACAAAGCTATTAGCTTAATATTCACTTAAGCTTTGGGACAAAATCTTCAGGAGTTGGCCATATATAGTAGCTACACTGCAAAAAATTTAAATCTAAATAAGTAATTTTTTCCTAAAATAAGTGCATTTTTTCTTGAACTGAGGTGGTAATTGAGACACTTTGCCAATGGAACGAGACAATTTAAATTTAAAATAAGAAAAAAATATTGCATTGTCTTATTTCAAATGCATATTATCTAATTATCTTATTTTCAGAGTAAAAATACTTATTCCATTGGCAAATAATCTTATTTACCTACTCAAATTAAGGGTAAATACACAAAATTTAAGACATTGTTACTTATTTCTGGATCGTTTTTGCAGTGTAAGTATATCAGGTGTTTAGTAGTCCCCTTTTGTCAGGATTTGTTTATCTATAGTTTTAGATCATGCAAGAAATAATGTGCTGTCTTTTTCTGTTCTATCAGATCAAATTTTAATTTTCCTTATGAAGGGCTTAAGGCATGCTAAGAACCCCCATCACCTGTGAATGGTTTGAACTTGTTCTCCAGATCAAACGTCTGTTTGCCGATGGTTTTCAGATCCACACACAGTCCAGGGCAAATGGCAAACTCCTGAATGGTTCTGCTGATCTGGTAGATCTTGCTTGTGACTAACTCTTTGGCTGGGCCTGGAAGCAGCAGAAAGACTTTCAATCAAATCGTTAATCACTGCCATAAACCATCAAAGGCAACTTTCCATTTTCTAGTTGAAGCCTTGAAACCTTTGCTTCAATATCTGACTTTTCTTCTGCTTTGTCCTTCAGTGTGTGCACACGCTCTTTTCTCTGCTCCCTGCTTGCTTGCACTTTCTGGTCCTTTTATCTTCTTTTTATCTCTTAACCAAAACTACAGAAAGTTGGATTTAGTTATTAGCTGCATTGCTCCAATTAAAGTGAAAGTCTTTTCCGGAAATAAAAAATCTCCTTGGAGAAGTGCTCCAGCAGTTAAAAGTGAAAAAAGGGAGTGTCGAAAAGCTGAACGCAGGTGGAGAAAGACAAAACTCCAAGTTCACTATGACATCTATAAAGAGAGACTTTACAGATACAACTTACAACTGAAAAATGCAAGAGAATCTTTCTTCTCTGAAATCATTAACAAGAACATTAATAATACTCGTGCGTTATTTGCCACAGCCGACAAGTTAACAGATCCTCCTGTGCCCGTGGCTCCTGAACTCCACTCCACCAGGGCTGCAATGAATTTGCTCATTTCTTTACTGAGAAAATCCTAAAGATCAGAGGATCCGTTTATACATCCATAGCAGCATTTAGTTCCATGCTCCACTTATCTGGAACAAACGTCCAGAAAACTGTAAAAGTGCGGAAAGCCTGAGTTCCTTTAAATCAGGACTAAAAACACATTTGTTTAGGATTGCCTTCGACTGTTCTATTTAAACAGTTCAACTAAAACATATTTTCTTTAGTCCAACTGTTTTTAATATTCTTTTTTGTTTTATTTCTTCCTACTTGCTTTGATTCTGTTTTATCTTTCTGTATTTTAATCATGTAAAGCACTTAGCATTGTCTTTGTACTGAATTGTGCTATACAAATAAATTTGCCTTGCCTTTTCCTTTGACATTACTGTGCAATTTTGTTGGTTTTGCATGCATGGTTTGTCTCACTTTACCATACCTCCACTTGCTGTGTTGAACTTAATACCAAAGTCTCCGTTGGGTCCACCTGCATTGTGACTGGCTGTGAGGATGATCCCACCGATGGCTTTGTATTTCCTGATTACACATGAGACTGCTGGTGTTGACATCATCCCATGGTGTCCGATGATAAGACGTCCAATCTGTGGAAATGCCCCAGAGGAGTCGAAGCAGAGGAGAGGGGGTTTCAATGGTGTAAAGCACACTTCCTTCTGCTTGTAAGTTAAACTTGGATTAACACTGATATTATGAACAGGTTCAAACATGTATGATATCTTAACTCTCTATAATTAACTCAGAGAACTGAAAAAACATAAATGACTCAGAGGGGATGAAATTTAAACCTGTACAACATAAAGAGCTCTTTACAGAAGCTGACCTCGAACAAAAGTGGTTCGATATTTCTCTAGTGGAGCATATCAGAGCCTGAAGCCGAAGTTATTCTGCTGACTAATTTTGAATTTTGACGTGTAAAGCTTCCCCTCTCATATCACATTTGACTCCATGGTGAGTAATATTATATTGGTATTCTTTGGAATTAAGCATTAATCAAAATGACTGACATATTGTCATGTGAGTCCACAAAAATATTCTGCTCCTTCCAGAAGAAATGCTACCTGCCATGCAGAGCTCAAATCAAAAGATTAAGAGGACATCTGTTAAATTGTTTTTGTCATCTTAGACAGCAGCTTGAGATTTAACAATTAAATTGACACTTTGAACACTAAGTAGGTAAAACCTTTTTTTAAATCATTGACCAAGAAAAAAAAAAAGTTCTTCTTCACTGGCATTCAGTTATGTTTTTGCTTTTAAATCCCTTCATGGTCTTGCACCGCCTACATACAGTACATGTTTGAACCCTTGTGCATTTAGAACCCAACTATATGGAAGTAAATATGTGCCATCAGAATTTGAATAAAAAATACCTCTGAAATTTGAATGTTGTATATTAGTGCTTACTTTTTCAGTATTAAAATAAATTCAGAATATATTTTTAACCTAAAAAAATTCATTGTCATTATTTGTACATTAAAAAAAAAATTCAGTGTAATTTTTTTACATGGTTGCAATTTTCAGTTATTAAAAAAATTCACATTCCTATTTCAAAGTGATAAAATTTTCAAAATACATATTTTTCACAGTTAAAATTTTCAGGGTTAAAAAATTCAGCATATAAAAAATTCAACTTTTCAAAATTCAAATGCAATATTTTCGTTGTCCTCCAATTCAACTTGCTCAAATTCACTGTCTCAAATTCAGCGTCTAAAAATTTGCTGTAAAAATGGCCAAGGTTACTTCAGGTCACAGACATTAGCAATGGATGTCCGATTCCAACATCCACCTAATCACGTGACACAACCGTCATATTGAAGAAGTACACTGTGTAGTGCCGGCATATTACTTCTCGCTACCTCCGAGCACCCCCCCCCCCTCCCAATTTCCCCCGTTTTATTTCAAAAAGAAATACCACTTTTCCAGGCAGTAAAGTCGCAATTTTTCAGGAGATGCTACAGCTAATGTAGTAAGCTAATATGGCTGCCTTGTGTGCTTCAAAGAGGGGCTGTGAACAGTTCCGACCCCACTCTGATCAGCTACTGTATTGTTAGGTGACTTCATTTATGAATTAATTAAGAAATTTTTTGTCATTACAACATCATTCAAAATACCAGTTACCTACCAAATTGTAGATTTATTTGTGCTTGATATAGTTTCTACAATTTTAATGGGAGAAGAGCACAGTAGGCATCGACTGCCTGTCTCAGTCTCACCTAAGACAACATACAAACAACCCAGAAAGTCACCAGAAGTAATTTGCCGGCACTACACGGTGTAAGATTAACAACGGCCCAAACCAGTGTTTTAAATCAGGCTTTAAGATAATGTATCAAACTTCATGTGTAAAATAAAATATACTACAGAAATATGAAAGCATTAAACTCACCGTTGGGTTTGAGTTCGCCTCCATGGTCGCCAGCCTGGGTGATACTGATACTTCTTCAATATGACGGTTGTGTCACGTGATTAGGTGGATGTTGGAATCGGACATCCATTGCTAATGTCTGTGACCTGAAGTAACCTTGGCCATTTTTACAGCGAATTTTTAGACGCTGAATTTGAGACAGTGAATTTGAGCAAGTTGAATTGGAGGACAATGAAAATATTGCATTTGAATTTTGAAAAGTTGAATTTTTTATATGCTGAATTTTTTAACACTGAAAATTTAAACTGTGAAAAATATGTATTTTGAAAATTTTATCACTTTGAAATAGGAATGTGAATTTTTTTAATAACTGAAAATTGCAACCATGTAAAAAAAATTACACTGAATTTTTTTTTTAATGTACAAATAATGACAATGAATTTTTTTTAAGTTAAAAATATATTCTGAATTTATTTTAATACTGAAAAAGTAAGCACTAATATACAACATTCAAATTTCAGAGGTATTTTTTATTCAAATTCTGATGGCACATATTTACTTCCATACAACTAAGTCCTTAGAATCAACCAACCAGCTCTTGTTAGAACTCTCCAGCGTACAAGCGTTGAGGTGATGGAGCCTTCACAGTCACTGGGCCCAAGGTTTTAGAACAAATTTCCTCTTGACATATGTACCACCACGGACTAAAACTTGTTTTTTTCCAGACTGGCTTTCAGTATTCAGTAGCATAGTGCCTGTTTGTAACAATATCTATTTTGTACTTGTTTATTGCTTATTCTCTAGCAAATGCACATGCACAACCATGTACCCACTCCTAAGAGGGAACGCCTGTTAAACGTGTGTGAGAGCGTGCAGTAGCCCATTTCTCCTCGCCCTGTTTAAACATTGCTGTTTGCATTGCCCATGGAAGCTCACTTTCCAAAAGAAGATTTGCAATTTTTCCATTATGTCAACACCAGCAAGTGAAAATGGAGACGAGCAAGTAGGACGGCCTTACAATTAGGATGACCACTTATTTTGATTATCCACCATGAAAAAAGAACATCCTCCACTATACCTTTAAGGGAAATTTCAGTTAGTACTGAAGAATGGTAACAATGCAAACATAATAAATGTAAAACACGATTTAACTTTAAGAAACAAAACAAAAACAATACATAATTTACTTGCTACTGCCAAAAGATTATATTAATAATTGCAGATATAAGATATCCTTTGTTGCTGCAGCTAAATAAGAAGTCAGCTACTAAGAAAGTATTCAAAATATTAGTTATTCAACAAAATATATTTAGTAAAAAACAAAAACAAGTATTAAATGCTGCTCTACAAACAAAAAAAATCAAATACAATTCAAAGCCAGATAAAACCAGGGCATTATAAAAACACTTTTTTAGAGATGGTGCATAACTGAAACAATTAATAGTGCAAACACTGGGCAACTTCAGCAGAGCCATTTATAGGTTTGAAAAACAAAATATTATTACTCCTCGCTGTTCTGCTAGAGTAACTAAATAAAACAGAGTAGAAATAAACAACCTTTAAGGTTATTAATATCTTTAATTGTCCCTCAGTGAGTATATTCAACACTGAAAGCTAATACTAGCTGTCTAATTAGCCATGGTCTCAAAGCTGGCCAACTTAAAATGCCCAGCACATAACATTCCAAGGACTTGGCTTTCTTTCTTGTAAACAACAGAAATAGGAGTGAATTCTGTGGTCGTGTGAATAATTAGGGAAGGAGGCAGCACCTCTGCTCCTAACTGCTCATCCCAGAAACCTTTTATGTATTTAACTAAGCTTAAGGATCTTTATACCATAGGAACGGTATTGTTAATGTTAGGAATCCAGTTTTTGTGGGTTGTGTTTTTCTCTTCCTCCACCACTAGGTGGTACCCTGTTCTTGTTGTTCCTCTCGCACACCTGCTGCTGGTTGGCTTATCACTGAGGACTTCTTAAGCAGCGGACTGTAACTATCTCGACGTCAGAGTATTTACAAGTTCTGGATACTCTAGCAAAGCTGAGATTAGCCGAGTCTAACTGAGACTTTGTTTCTCTGAGTTCTAACTGTGTTTTTGTCTTTGCCTTTTGGCAGGAAGCCATCCTGCAAGCTGTATGTTTTTGGCCTTCTTCCCCTGGAAGGATTGTTTGAATCTCACACTGAGCAGGGGATTAAACTCCACAAGTTCCGTTCAAGACCTCCTGGATTCCAAGTTACAGTCCGCTCTATAGTGCCTCTAGAACCAACCAAATCAAAACCTGTCCATCCTCCAACGAGTTCCTCCCTCTGGTTAACCCACACAAGACTAGATTCTGGGAAGAAGGTTTTCTCCACTAAAGTGAGCCCCGTTTTCTCTGTTTCTCCAAAGTCATCGTTCAGAGTTCCTACGGACCCTGAACTAACCTCTGATACTTCCCTTCCCACTTCTAGTTCCGGTTCACCAGTACACTGAGTTTCCTGAATCCAACCCCGTTCATCTCCTCAATAAACCTGTTAAACTTTTACCCTGGTTTTACCCTGACAGTTAATAAAATGGAGGGGTCTGAAACTGGACTGTGCCCAATGAAAAATAACACAAACATCAGTTCCTTAAAATTCAAACAGAGATTTTAGTGCTTAAGAGTGAGGAAACATTAAACTTCATGGGTCCAACTTTAATTCTCTAGGTCCAGTATCAACTTTGAAGTGTGTCTAATAATTACCACATTAGCAGGACTCTGTATAACCAGGGGAAGCAAGGAGGTAATTCAGTCATTTGATTGCTGATAAAGGTTCTCAGTCATCCAGGTCATAGTCATTCCATAAAAATAAAAAAAATATCCACAGGACTTGGTTTCCAAGATTTGAAGACGTTTCGTCACCTCTCCAGGAAGCTTTCTCATTTGACATTTGAATTGAGGAAGCTTCCTGGAGAGGTGGCGAAACGTCTTCAAATCTTGGAAACCAAGTCCAGTGGATATTTTTTTAATTTTTATGGAACAGTCATTTGATTCAACATGTTGGACCAGTAATTGGAGAGTAACCATTAAGGACTATAGTTTGACACCCCTGCCTTAAAACTTTGAAGAAACTTTTAAAATATCCCTATTCTTCATCTGTTGAACGCAGTTAAACTAGTAAAAATGTAAATCTCAATAAGTCATTTTTTCTTGAAATAAGTGCTTTTTTTCTTGAATTGAGGAGGTAAGTGTCAAACTTTGCCAATGGAACAAAACAATTTACCTTTAAAATAAAATAAAACAACTGCACTGTCTTATTTAAAGTGAATATTATCTAATTATCTTATTTTAAGAGTAAATATACTCATTCCAATGGCAGATCATCTTATTTTTATACTTAAATTAGGGGTAAATACACTTAATTTAAGAAATATTGTCTTATTTCTAGATCGTTTTTGCAGTGTAGATTTATAGCAGCTAAGTATTGCTGATGGCTGACAGGTTTAAGAGAGGTGGGGTTCAGATCTTGCTGCAGGGATGCCTTTCTAATGATTGGATATGGAAGCTGGTTAGAGTTAATGGAAGAAAACCTGTGAGTCTGCATTGAGACTGTGGCAAACATTTACCTTCCAGCAAGTAAGTTTCCAATGCACATTCAGTACTAAATTGTAAGGATTTAGATCACTATTTTTCATGGGCTAGAGGGGTCTAGTCAAAGTCTGGACATAAAAGAGCTTGGAAAACTATAGCAATATATGAAAACTGATTCATAAACACTGTATGTCATCTAGGGGTGTAAATAATAATCGTAACAGCCGACGATCCGATGCATCAATACGTCCGCAAGGGTGTCGATTCATGTTTTGTTTTTTTCCTCCGGTCTCTTTTTATCCATTTGCTCCTGGACGTAATTCTCCCTCCCGTGCTGTGGTGGCGCTAAACCTATTTTGCCCTCCTACCGCGCTTCCTGGCTATAGCAGTGTGTTGCAGTAATCTTGACACAGACATTTTTGATTTATGCTCAAAAAAAAAAAAAAAATTAACCAATGAATCGAATCGTGATGTATTCTTGAGTATCGAAAATAATCAAATCGTTGGATCAGGAAATCGATACTGAATCGAATCGCCATGATTGGTGTGATTTACACCACTAATGTCATCCTATTAATCTAAGTGCAAGTCATTTAGCAAAGAATGAGGAAAATTTGGAAGACATAACCCAAAAGAGTTAATGTTTTAACTATAGTAAAAGGCGTGATTAAAAAAAATATTTTTAGGGTGGCTGAATATCAGTGTAGGACACATGTTTAATATATGAAATCTCAATAAAATGTCTTGAGTCTTGTATTTGTGATGTCAAATAATGCTAAACATTTTGATGACCTTTTAAAGCCTTTATAACAACTTTTAACCAAGCATAATACTCCATGTGTGTGATGCAATCAGCTTGCAGGTGATGAGAACAAGTGATGGGGCAGGTGACACTGACATTCATACAGTCACTGGTAAACAGTCACCAACATGCACATGTGCAAGCAGCTACATTTGATGTTTTCTAACACACACTGACTGACCCCGTTGGCAGCTGCCATCTGAGCGATGACCCCAATAGCCGGTCTGTTGAAGAAGCGCCCGTCTCCTCCAACCACCAGGGTTGCGCCCTGGCGGTCAGGTAGGTCAATAGAAGAGAAGATACTTTGGATGAAGTTGTGAAGATAGCTTCTCTTGGACTGAAACACGTAGACCTTCTTCCTAAGCCCATTGGTGCCGGGTCTTTGGTCGGGGTAAGGGGCTGTGGGGACAGTCAGAACTTGCAGAGGCCCATTCTCCATTTTCTCTAAAATCAGGATCCAACTTGAAGTGCCATGTGAAGAGGACACAATCTTTTTAACTCTGAGGGAAATCCTCTTCTAGCTGCTGCAAGGGCTCTAAGCAACAGAATGGAAAGGGAAGAGCTCAGCTCCTCCTATTATTTCCCTCGGGTTACAGCAGGAATTAAACAGCTCAAAATAACTTTGCAAACTTATGTGTGCAGAAGCAGGGGGGGTAACTGGAGCCACTCCTTCACACATGTGCAGGGGGATCACTGTCAGGGCTCCAGGCCCAGTAACAAAGAATTATTTGTGTGTGTGTTTCAGAGTGGATGTACTGCGATGTTTGGTGGGTTATTTATCGAGGCGTTAACGGCTTCAGCTGTGCTCCTGGCAATGATGTGCAAAAACAGAGATAGAATTTCTCATCATTTGCATCTGCAGCATTTATCAGATTATTCCCCCTGTTTTAAAAGCCGTTAAATAAAAACAATTAGAGCCCAGACTGAAACATTTGGTCAAGAAAAAAAAAACCTGCAAAAGAAAACAAAGTCATCAGTGGTGAAATACATATTTACCACAATCATAACAGACTGTGATAGCAAGAGGCAGAGCAACACTGCCCTCTAGAGGTTATTAAACGCTGGGCCACATCAGCATACTAAGTAAGAGTAGCAAAAGTCATGTATGCTAAAGTGTATTTAAACAACTGTTTTAATTATAACATTTTATTTGTCCAAAAAAAATAAAATATGTATTTTTGTCCAGGTTCTAAAATGTTTTAAATTTGGCCTCAAGAACTGAAGAGTACACATGAGAAAACAGACTTTGATTGATTGTGTCAGGAATCCAGTTTGTGTGGTCTGTTTTTGTGTTTCCTTTCCTCCTCCACCAGGTGGTGCCCAGTCCTCATTGGGCCTCCCTGCACACCTGCAGCTCGTTGCCTCATTACCTGTGGAGTGTTCTTAAGCTGCTGACTGCCACTACCTCAACGCCAGAGTGTTTGCCAGTTTTGGGTACTCTAGCCATGCTTAGTTTAGCAGAGTCTAACCTGAGTTTTTGTTATGCCAGTTTTGGGTACTCTAGCCAAGCTGAGTTTTGCTGAGTCAAACTGAGTTTTTGTCTTTGCCTCTCGGCAGGAAATCATCCTGCAAACTGGATGTTTTGGACCTTCTCTCCCCTGGAAGGATCCTCTAAGAACCAAACTGAGCTGAGGATTCAAGTGTGTGGTTTGGATCAACCTTCCCCCAAGGATTGTCTGGGGCTTCTCTCTGAGCAGGGGATTCATCTCCACAATAACCCATTCAAGTACAGCAGGAAATCTAAGTGGCAGTCAGCTTCTCCGTTCATCAACGAACAACCGCAGTCTGGGAAAACCCTGTCCGCCCAACATCAAACGAGACAATCACTGGAACATCCCACACAGACTGGATTCAATAAAGGACACCTTTTTCTGGAAACGTGAGTCTGCAACCTATTCCTCCTCTTCAAGTCAAGGAATCTAATTTCCCACTGAGCCTGAACTAACCGCAGTGTTTTCCCCTCACTTTCCAGTTCCGGAAAGTGTTCAGAGCAGCACTGAACTCATCTCATTATACTAAACAAACCTGTTAAACTTCCCTGGTCTCTCTGTTTGGTCTTCTGCATTTGGATCAGATCTTTAATTAAATCATGACTGATTAATTGACTTTATTGATCTCAAAGTGGAGAAATATAATTGTTACATCAGCTCAAATGGTCAAAGGAAATGTGTGCTAAAGGAAGAAAAAGGTGTATGGGGTATATACAGTGTGTCCACATATGACAGTGGACTGTGGACACACTGTTCTTCATTACTCCTTGATAAATACATATGCAATATTTTTGTGTGCAACAGTTTATTTTCTATATAGGTGTTGGGAAAAAAGGAATTGGTCCAAGGGATCAAACATTTGTGGTTTCACTGCCAATGCATAACGTATCGGTCACCCATGGCTTTGACCCTGAATCTACGAGGTTAAAGGAGAAGTCCGGTCAGCAAGGAATAATCAATGGATCATTATCCATACCTAAAACTAACACGTTTGTGGTGATTTAATGAATTTAGCATAAATCAGTAAAGAAATAAAAATAATTTTCATCATCACTGAGTCTGGGAGCGGCCATTTTTACCCAGATATAGTAGAAATCAATGAGAGCTACTAGACACATCTGCAATCGACAACAATTACTTTAGATTTCGAGAGGACTTCACCATTGAAATTCGCGAGAGCTATAGTTCAACTTACAGTACAGTGCCCACATGCATGACAGTTGGATGTTGTAATACATTGGTTAAAAGTGAAAAAAAATTAGTTATTTCACCTTTCTGATTCATGATCCACCACGGGTTCGTCGTTGGATTGCCAACTTGAAGAGGGAGGATTTGCCAATGAAAAAAAAAAACACGTAATATGTAGCCAACATTTGGAAGAAGAATGTTTTTAAGATGACTTGGATAATACCGTGTTGTGACAAACACCAGATATAGCACTGGGACTTGCTGAACAGCCGATACCGCACCGTGACGTCACAAACCGGTAGGTGGCAGTAGTGTTCTTTAACAAACATGGATGCCTCCAGTAAATCACATATATTACTAATCATTACTCTTAATTAAAATCACTTATCATTTATTGAACAGTATGTAATAAATTCACACTTAAAGTACTTTCAGAAGTTTGGTTTCTGAATATGACCCGACTTCTCCTTTAACATCTAGGTAGCTGGCTTTCACGTCTGCTTTGCTGACCTCTTGGCTCTGTGTGATAGCTGCTCTTTAACCTAATCAGCGAATCATTAATCTTGTCTGTTCTCAGTTGCTCATGCAAGCTGTTGTATTGGTTCTTCTGATGAGTCTAATTAAGCAGGAAAATTTTTTTTTCTTTTTCCAAAGAGTTATGTAAACAAATATGAATAAATCTTTTTAATCGCATTATTAAAAAATTTTAAACCAGTTATCCCTTCTTCTTTTCATTGAGGATTAGGATTGGATTAATGATGTTGTGGGTATAGGGTAGGGAATAGGGTGGATTATGCCATCAGAGGAACTATGTAACGCAAAATCAACATTGTTATATTATTCCTCATTTCCTTTATCTTCCCTGTCCTGCAGAAAAAGTGGCCATGTCAGGAGGCACCTAGTTTGACCTCGCTGTGCCATTGCAGTAAAAAACATGCCCACTTTCTCCAGTCAGCAGGTGATGGTAGTGGCAGTGGAGGATCATTTCTGCTTGAAGTAGAGAAGTCTTAAACTTTGCTCAGCAGCCTTCCTAAACAGGACCATAATTTATATGCATACTATAAAATAAGCATTTCTTCCATCTAGGATGTCTGAGTGATGTGATATCTTTTGTACCTTGATTAAAACAGTGAACCTATGGTAGATAATTTAAGAATAACATGTGAAACAAATAAAACTTCATGCCGTTTAGGATTTTTCTTACCTTTGAATTTGTCCTGCATGCTTTCAGTAGAGACTTCTTGATTTGTTCTTCAAAAAAAAACCTTCCAGATCTACCTTAAATGTATTTGTTCACATCTGAGCGGTTTAACAATAAACACTTTTTCATGATAAAAATGTTGGAAAATCATTTAAATGTTTTGATGAGCAATAAAAGTTACAAGTCGTAACAAAAGGGTTCGAAGCTCTAAAAACATGACAGAACAGGAAAGGCAAAGAGGAAAACATCAGACCGTGTCTCGAAAATACATTCATGCCTTGTATTACTGGATTTAATGAGTACATGTCTTGATAGGCGATCAGATCCACAAACCTGTGGCAAATCCAACCTAATCAGGCTTCCCTAAAAAGGAATGCTTTTTCAATACCATTTAAAATGAACAGGGGGAAAAATGAGGTTTGGAGTTAACTTTGTGCCTTTATTGTTGCAATTAAAGCTCATGTCTTGTAAATGGAAACTTAAAGAAAAATACATTCCAGAAAATAAACTTTTGAAAACTTCTAAATCAACAAAAGGCTTTGAAATGTTATTTTTTCACATTTCTCTACACATGTCATCATCTGCTCTGATAGCTGGTCTTAATTGCTCATTTCACTCACCTGCCCAGTTCCTAATCATCTCTGATCTCATCCACCTGTAGGTTCCGCTTAATATTCGGTCCAGCCCAGCTATCGAGGGCAGATCACTGTTAGATGTTTGTTTGCTGTCTGCTTTTTTTTTTGCCTGTTAGTCTGTCTGTTTAGTTAGTTCAGTTTATTCCTTGGTTCATGTCCTAGTTCCTGGCGGCCAGTGGAGAGAGAGGGTTTTTGCGTCTTGTTTCCTGATCATGTCCTGGTCCTTCCGTGGAGCTCTCTGGGTTTTGGCTCAGAACGAGACGGTCAGTTTTATTCCTGTAAGCCTGGCTCCAAGGAGGAGGAGGAACCCATCACCAAGACTTCTATAATGCAGTTTTACTGGCTTTGGTTATTAACACAGAAGTGACAGTGGCTGATGCTGCTTAACGTGCACACTTGCACAAAGCCACGCAGACACGCGCTCACACATACTAGGTCTACAACCTCAGCCCGAGGGCTGTAAAAACGCCAACATAAAACAATACGATAAAGAGGCAGAAAGGCAGTTCTTCAAGAATGAACACATGAAAGCTCAGCGGTGTGTAAGTATTCACTGCAAGTCTGGCATGTGGGCAATGAAATTGAATAATGCAATAGATGCAAAACCACATCATGCACTGCAACAGATTTTTGCAAAATATTCTAACATAAATTCGCCAAGTATAGGAAGATCGTCATTTGGTTCAAAGAAAGCATTTTAGTTTGATTATAATTTAGTTTGTTGCAAGGATTTTACACAGTGTTGTATAAAGTACCGAAATCTCGGAGTCAAGTAAAAGTATAAGTACCTCTCCAAAATATGACTTTGGTAAAAGTCCAAGTCAGTGACTAAAATGTTACTTGAGTAAAAGTCTTAAAGTATCTGAAATGGCTTGTACTTAAGTATAAGAATTACTGTAAAAATAGATGTATTCAAGTAATGTAG